ACCCGGACGAGGGCGCCGATCGTGCCGGCTCCCCTTTCCTTTCCTCTCCCTTTGTGATGGTTCCCCGGTCGCGACCTTTATCACCGCATTCGCGCCCCTCAACCTCCTCCTCTTCCTCCATTGTGCCCTCCCACCTGCGCTCAACCTCCTTGCCCCCGGGATATACGGCCAGGGAGAGCAACGGATACGCTTTTGCCTGGGGTCACAGGGAAAGTAGGTGGTGGACGTGAGGCCGCTTGCCCTTCGGAGGCTCCCCCTCCCTCCTTTTCTCCCTATCTCCCTTCCTCCTTCCCTCCCTCGTTTCCATTTGCCCACCAGTGAATCATTCTTGACCACTTTCCCTCCCACTTCCATTAAAAGTTCGAGACACTTCATCGTTGAGCCCCATCGCGTCGCTCCGTAAGTTGATACATGCAGGACTTCTCCCTCCCTCCCTCCCTCCCTCTCTCCCCCCCTCACCTCTGCCGCCTCCACCACCGCACCAATGCCCTTCCCTTCCGCTGTAGCCGCCATGCCCAGGGAACTTTCCTTCTTCCCAGTCACGGCGCAAGGGCTTGGGACGTTGTCCGTGTTTGCGGCCGGTGAAGTCATCGGCCAGGCCCCTTTGTCGCCATCGCCTCCTCTGGGTTGCGGCGACCTCGCGAGGCCCACAACCGCGGTCAGCACTGAGCCTGCCGCATTCACCATACCATCGCCTGTGCGTGTGGACATGGAAACGTCAGGAGTGAAGAGCAGCGCGGTCGGAAAAGTTGTGGCCTTGAAGCGCAGCAGGTGGTCGTAGTGTTGGAGAAACAGGGGCCGAGAAGGCTTGTGCCCACACAGGAACAAAGCAACCACAAAAAAACGTTGTATTCCCGTCCGCGCCGGCGCTTTTGTATGTGCACACACTTGAAGCATAACCTATGGAACAATTCGCAGCGCTCCCTCTACGTTCGTGCCTCATCTTGTGGTGTGTAGGGTACAACCTTGTCTGCGAGGGAAGAGGACTCTCCCAGAGCCCGCCCTGCTCCCAGGTCGGTTTTGACTCACAAATTCGCACAGACGAAAACAAACAGGCACATTTTCAGTCATTTCGTTAGCAGATGAGTGAAGGCTTCCAGGAATAGTAAGCGGGATGAAAAAAAAGAGGAATTTAGGTGCACTTTGTACCCTGTCTCTTGCTCATACCCGTCGCGACCTCCGGGGGCAGGCATACCGGGTCTTACAAGGCCATTTCCTGTCACATAAAGCCTGGTATTTGGACCGTCTGAAGAACCAGTGGGGTTCCATATGTGAAGTTTGTTGCAATACGAGAACAATGTGCGCGATGCTTTTTCCTGCAGTGATACAGGTCCTTGGGAAGGGCGTAGTAATCGGGGTCGTATGTATGATGTATAGAGAGGCACGGTATATTGCGACAGCGAGTCGAGATACTGGTGGGCCCTACCCTATTTGTTGTGACACTTTTTCACGCCTCACGCAAACCACACGTCCGACAACACGCTTAAGGTGAACAGTATGGGCACGGGGAGCTGCAAGAAAAAACCTCGGCACAGTGCCAAAAAGAAACAATACAAAAAAGCTCTGTGTACGGCCCGGCGGCCCCGAGACGTGGATCAAATTCAGGTGAGAGGGCACTGGAGAGTAAAAGGGGGCACTGAACGATACGGTGATGCAGTAAAGGCATAGGAATCCACGCAGGTGGCAATGGTATTATTGACGACGCGGTTGCTTATGGTGGGCTGGTTGCCTCGAGTGACACAGTTCAACGCGTCGGATGACCCCCCTCGTCTTGATACTGCTTCTCATAGTTGCAATTAACAAAGAAAAAGACCAATGCCGCGTTGACACGGATACACCACCTCATCGCTTCTATCTTCATTCCCCTCCCCTCCATGGCATATTTTCTCTCCAGGACGAGCTTCGGGCAGAGGCGGAGAGGGGGGAGGCGTTCCCTATGCCTCATGACGACGACCTCCCCGGGGCCGGCCAATTTTACTGTCGACCGTGCGCCCGACATTTCGGAGACCAACATTGTCTGGACCACCATACCCGGAGCAAAGTGCACAAACGGCGGTG